CACAGATATATTTAACATGCGATATACCACTGAAAAGAGCATTTCTTTTTACTACAAAAATCATCATTAAACGTGATTTGTATATCCTCTTCCGATGTAATAAATATTCAAAGAAAATAAAAAATGATGCTGCTAATAGATGAAGTTGCAAGTACTGTTTTAGAGACATCCAGTTTTTGGCTTTTCCTCCTTCTCAGATACATTCTGGAAAAATATGTACGGTACAAAAGTTGTAGTTCAGACATTTCTCTTTCTAATAAAAAAAAAATTATTGATCTAATAGTCGGCAATATGGTCTCATAGACGTCGACATTTTTTCCATTGCTTTTGCATCGCATGTTAGATGCAAAATAGGTATTATTTCATACAGTAAGCTAGCAGGAGTTTTTGATAGTTATTTTGGACACTACCGGCAACGTATTTTTTGAAAAAAATTCAAGATTTTAGCATTTATTCATGCGAAGATACATGTAATATAAGCTATGTTGATAACATTTTGTGGCATTCATTCTCAAATTCGGAATGATATTCCTAAAATTTTCTCAACTATCGGATCTCTCTCAGATGTTGCTTTTGATTTTTAGGTGAGACTTGAGCTTTCTTAAGCGCAACTGGTTTGCCGCTTATTGTGCTATCTAGCATGAGACTGAATGTACGATTGTTCAAAGAACTTTCGCGTACTAAATATAAGCTCATGATAAGATTTGTGAGTTTTTTCCAAAATATAAGCCTCCTCAAGCCTCCCCTGCCTGTTTTTAGGGGAGGCTTGAGCCTCCCCAAGCCTAATGGCTCCGCCGCCACTGAGTCTTCTCTGAATGAGTAGCGTTTTTTACTGCAAGTCCTGCACCCTACTTAAATGCATGAAAAGAGACAGCGATCTCCAGTGTAAGTGCTGTACAATGCTTAGAAATAACAAAATCTGCAGCACCATTAAGCGATTTCAATGACAAGTGCTGAAAAGCGCTTAGAAAAATGAAAATTTATAGCACTTTTAAGCGATTTTAATGGTAAGCGCTGAAAAGCGCTTAGGAAAACGGAAATTTACAGCACTTTTAAGCGATTTTAATGGTAAGTGCAGAAAAGCGCTTACGAAAATAGAAGTTTAAAGCACTTTTAAGCGATTTTTAATGGTAAGTGGTGTAAAGCGCTTAGAACAACCGTTTTCTAAGCTAAAATAAGCAGCTTATTGAAGCGTAAGCCTTTTAAAGCTGCTTGCAAATAGCTTACAAAGGCAAAAATTTTCACATGGGCAGTTGTTTTCTTTCTTGTATTGAAGAAATAAGATGAGTATGTCCATTTTTCTATATTCTTTACGCAGTTCAGCTAATCATGACTATGTTGAAAATTATTAATTTTTATATTATCTTACTGAAAACTTGTCGCAAGTTCACACTACTGTTAGTTTCGTTTCTTTATCTGATACTAAAGAAAGTCTATCATTATTTATCATTGTCTGTTGTTCAACAATGCCAACAGTTTCACATCATACAAATAAGAGTATCAATGCGTGTGGTCTATTTGAAATGTATTTTGTTTTACCAATATTTTTTTTGTTTGCCGTCATTATTTGTCTACTCTCCGTGTTGTGTATTTTACTGTTGTCATGGGCAGTGCCTTTCAAGAAAGCGCTTGATTGATGGAAATTTAAAAAAAAGGAATCAGGAAGAGAGGAAAAAGAAAAGGAAGTAAAGCTTTTTTTATGTTGCACAAGTAACACAAGAGTCCTTCGACAAACAAACGATGCATTTTGCATATTCAACATTCAACCAAGTTGGAGATTATTGCTATTGAAAGTTTTTGAAAAATTTTATTTTGATTATTGCATCCTGGTAAGTAACTTACGACCATGGTTCCTAAGCAGATCTTTCAGTTTTTTAAACGTCATCAGTATAACGAAATTATGACTAGAATATTCATTACAAAGAATCGAGACAGAAATGAAATAGATGTTCATCGCAAACTGTCGTTTATCTGATCAACTGATGATTTTTCCTTAGTCAGAAGTCTATCGAGTGTATTTACCTGTATGAAGCGCACACAATTTTATTGATTTAATGGTTCCTTCTCGTAGAATTTTGTCCACATTTAACATAGTTAGCTTTCTACGTGTGTATCCTATTCTATTTATGATCTTTTCGTGATTTTCGATATTGAGATCGAACTATCAAAATAATATCACTGGTTATTTCATAAGATACGGCCTAAAGACGATACTTTCACGCTTCGGAAGTTTGCCTATCGAGAAGAATTAGTGGATCGTTAACAGCGAGTGTGAAACCTTTATGTAACATAAAAATGCTTAGCAGTGAAATCCAAAACCTTTTCAGGGTTGGTATGGATGTGTGGGTGTAGATGTAGGGTGTGGATGAAAATTAGAACCCCATCTACCCACACCCAAACACCCACATTTACTAAACTAAGCTCAAACATCCAATCCCACCTATCGATGTGCTGAGTACAAGCACCTCAGATTCGGTTAGACTCGTTTAGGCGCTGGCTGAGCTTAAGTTCGACCAAACCTTACCATACCAAAGTCGAGCTCCACCTGCTCGGTCTAGGCTCGGACTCGGCACATGCCTAATTCCACTCATAACTATACATCTACATTCAATCAGGGTGCGAGTGTGGATCTGAGTGTTATGCTTTGTGGATGGGTGTGAGTGGGTGTGGTTATGGTGAGCGAGCTGTGGTAACACCACATCTAGTCATGCACATCCAAACACGCGTACTCAACTATCCGTGCATCAACAACCACTGAGAATCCCTCGTACCCACACCCACAACCCACACACTCACCCAAACCCAAACCCACACCCACCCACAACTCACATCCCACACCCACACCCACACCCACACCCAAACCTATCTCTATAGAATCCTGCATCTAATGAATGAAATCTCTAAAAACTTTTCAAACTTGAAAAACAATTAATTCCACATTATAAGATGGAGAATCATTCTTGTTAGAAAAGAAATAATAACTATTTTTCCTACCAAAACGCAATGTGATTTTAAAATGATGACAAGGCGAGATATTTCTAATATATTGGCGTGCAGAAAATTCTTTCAGACATATTGAAAATTGTTCATATCGTTACAATTTAATGTGGCCCATGTACCTGCACCATGAAATCAATTTTTTCTAAATGAACTTTCGTTAGTACAATGGCAGATGTATAAAAGAGAATTTTGAATCCTTCAGCATCACTTTGAAGCTTATTCAACATGTTGTGGGTTTCGTGTGAGTGTCGATGGGTAGTTATACAATGCACACACACACCTCTTATGTAGGATAAAGCGGCACAAGTCACGCAGAATACATACAAGTATCACGCTAGTGAGTTGTGCTTCAAGATATCGATGAATATGTTCCGATATGGATAAATGCTTTCGAACAACATAGACATAGAAAATATGCCTGAATAAGAACAAAAAAAGTTTCAGAAATATAATTAGTGTATCCGAAGAGCAATGAATTTCTTATAGATTTTTACTAATAAGGTCGCGTGACGGAGAAGATTTCTGTTTACTTGCAAATATGTGTGGTGGACAGCATAAAAGTTTCTGACATCGGTGATATCTGTGAGATAGAGACCGAAAGTCTTTAGGCAACCCATTCATTTGCTGTCTTTATGAGAAAAAAATATCGTCTCAATCATCCATTTAGTGGGGTTAAACAAAAAATAGCTTTTTACCACTAATACATATGTCAGAGTTGCAGCTAAAATCAAAAGGTCATTATAGAGATTCCACTGAGACTAAAGCGAGTCTCACTGCTGAAGAGATCAGCTTTGGTGCTATAGAAACATTCAAACGTGTGAGCATAAGTATAATAATTTCAGACGAACTACTGCATTATTAACACATTGTTGTTTTTGATGACTTTTCAATGTCTGGAGCATTCTGTCATTTCCTTTTGTTCAAATAGATGCATCTATGCATTGTCTATCCTTCATATCGTATACATCAAAAATGCTCACTTCACTCCCTTATTGATTAATATATGTAATGGTTCGTTGGAAGGAGAGTATTCACGTGTAGATAAAGGAGTGCATATTTGATCGAATTGTGTATATCGAATAATATAATATAGAACAAGAGAAGTTCTCGTTTTAAGATAACTTTCTCACATCAGTGGATTTTCTTATATTATACACAGATAGAAACCTTGATAGACAGAAGTTAAAAGCCCACGAGGTTTTCCTCCTTAACTAGCTTTGACTCTGTTAGCCGATCAACTACCAATGAAAGCTAAAACTTATCGCATAAAGTTCCTGTCGTTTTGTTTACTATTTATGACGGTTCAAACTGCAAAAAAACTGTCTTTATAAATTAGCTTAATCGTCAAGCTGTTCATTAGACATTCGACAATCACTGTGTTTAGATTTCATCTCTATCACTCGTTAATGACTTACTCAAAGGCATTATCGGTTGTGTGGTTTGAACCATACTCTCACTAATTATCCCGGCGACAATTTGATATATTCCACCCTTCAAAACTAGTATGTTATTTGTAAGTATATGCAGATAGCTGAATCGATTGAATGAACATAGTCTTTAAGTAATATGCTATATAGCTGAACAACTGAAAATGTTGTATTGTTTTGTCGTTCGAAAAATGCTTGGAAAAGAAAATTTTCTGACTGGTTACGTGACCTCTCTAGTCTATGTATCTATTAACCTTTGCTTGTACCAATAGAATCTACAAAGATTGTACCAAATAACTTTCTTCTGGTTTCGTTTTCTACTATAAGTTAAAATGTTGCAAAACTGGCTGTACTTGATGAATTCGAGATTGAAACACTTGACAGAGTTCCTAGATAAATTGCTTCATCATTAAAACTCATCTAATATCAATCATGAATAGCACGAGAATTTACTGTGAGATCTATAGAAAGCTTCTTTGAAGTATTTGCAATAATATCAATGTGTGATTTCATCTCTTGATACATTACATGATAGGAAATGTGTTATTTTCAGATCGAAATTGCTGTTTATTAATGGCGGCTAAAAGTGAAGCAAGACGAAAGTTGGCTCTTGTAATTGGTATTGGTAAATATGAACACTGTGACGAATTAAAAAATCCAGAAAATGATGCGAATGATATGTCATCGACTCTTGAGAGTATCGGTTTCACTGTTGAAAAGAGACTACATTTAAAACGTGTTGATATGAGACATGCTATTATTGATTTCGAAGAATCAATAAAGCCTGACGACATGGTGCTGTTTTATTTTGCTGGACATGGGATACAATGGGAAGTATGTATTAATGTTTTGATATTAAAACTTCGTCCTTTTTTCTATGATCGTTGTATTTATGGTACTTTTAGGACCAAAATTATTTGATACCATCAGACACTCCAACTTTGAGTGGTGCAGATTTAAATACGAGCGCTATTAATGCGCAAGATATTCTTAAAAATTTAAGTGATCGCAAGCCATATGTAACAATATTTCTCTTAGATTGCTGCAGAAACTATCACTTACGTAATCCTAGAGTATATGCACGCGGTACAGATTCAAATAATCAAAAAGCAGTAGGTCTCAAAGCCATGCACAAGGCTGGGTCATTGATAGCGTTTGCTTGTGTACCTGGAACTATAGTCATTGAAGGACAAGGACAAAGAAACGGCTTATTCACAAAGCATCTTTTGGAAAATATTAAAAAAAAGAATGAAGACATACGAATGATATTAAGTGATGTTACCAAAGGAGTAATAAATGATTCGAAATCAAAACAAATTCCATTTGTGAGTGCTTCTCTATCAGAGAGGGATATATATTTATGCAGTGGCAACCCCAATCAACCACGCAAATTCGGTAAATACGCTAGTGACTTCTACTGTTGTTGTTTACTAGAAATTCAAATATTATCATAACAACTGTGCGTGTCAAGTGTATTGATTTCGAAATATTTAGAGAAAAAGATTATTAGCATCTGAATTGTTCTTCGACTTAATCTGAGTCGAATGGTATAGATAAGGTCATTGAAATAAAAAGAATCAGTAATATAGTGTAACTCTAAAAGAATATGTGTACTTAGTCCTCTGAGCGAGCACCATCGCATTTATAAATAATAATAGTAGATCGGTAGCATTTTGAGCATTATCACTAGTTGATTAGAGATTATATTGAATTGAAAATAACCAGTCAGAAATTTTAATACTACGCCCAAAAGAATACTACGGAGCAAATCAAGCTTCAAATGAGTTGAAATTTTCATATTGGAACTAGATCAGCCAGTCACGAGTTTGGTCTAGTTGAAGTTTTAAAGCCAACTGAGTTTCATCGGTTTTTCATTCTTTTTCTGACACTTTAAGTTGGCCTATAGCGTTCTTTTCTAATCATTTTCAAATTTTTAGTGATCAAAAGATAAGATCTTGGTAGTGTTTAACTGACCAATTTTCAACTATTGTTAAAATCCCAGCTCTGAAATATTCCTTGAACACTTTTTCGTCGTAAGACGAGAGGCTCGGATCATGTTTAACCCTAGTACGCCTAACATGGGTCATTTCTGACCCAGACATAAAAAGGGTGTGGGTGGATGTGGGTGTGGGTGGAAGAGAAGACCAACACCCACACCCCACACCCACCCACACCCACACCCTCAATGTGTGAAACATCTAAAGACAGAAAAACTTCAACTAAATGTTATAAATGTTCTGCATTTGTTTGTAACGAACATAATATAAAGCAGATTTTTTGTATTAATTGTTCGAAATAAAGGACTAATATACTCTCAAGATTGTTTTCTATCAGATTGGATATAACACTAGTATCCTTTTGTCAGGATAGTGGCCTTAGAATAGAGAAAATAATTTTACAGAAGCATATATTGCTACTGTAGTGCGTAAAAAAGCACAGGCGTACTAGGGTTAATAACTTTATGCTAATGGAAAGCAAACCAGACATTATATTTTAATTTAGATATAAATTAATGATTTTTGGTCCTGAAATATTGAGCTCATAGCTCTGAATTCTTTCTAACCAATTCTCCCAAAAGTTCAATACCTAGTAGTTTTCATTTTATCATGTTTTGAAAAATATGAGAAGGGATTCCGCTCTACTGTCCAGGTTC